AGCTGAGAAGCCTCAGAGGAAAGGAAAACAATTCTTATCTCATTTGCTTCTCCTGTGTTTTGCTGCTTTGGAATGTGGTTGGAGATTGTTTATCCAACAGGTGGTTGTTTCATTGGTTTCTGCTGTGAATTATTTTGACTTATTGGCCAACTGGGGCCAAGCTGTGTTGGGACTCTGGAGAAAGAGTCAAGAGTTTCATTAAGTAAGTATCCTTTCTGTATTCTTTAGTGTAGTTTAGTTTAGTATTCTTTTATATAATATAGTATCATCATAATTAGCCTTCTAAGAACGTGGAGTCAGATGCATCACTCCTCCCTCATTTGGGGAACCTGGCAAATACAACATTCCACAGTGCCACTGTGATATTTTATGAAAATCCTTTCGCCAGGATTTTTTCTCCTGAGAAGGTGAGAAGCCTCAGAAAAGAAATGTAAAAAATAACTATCTGCTGCTGTGGAATGTGGCAGGTGCATCTTTGATTGGTCTCATGTGAATTTGTTTTTACTTGATGACCAATGACAGCCAGCTATGTTGAAGCTCTGAGCAGTCATGAGTTTTTGTTATTCATTCTTCTTCATTCTTTCTAACCTTCTATCTGTGTCTTTCTCTCTATTCTTTTAATATCGTTTTAGTATAGCATTTTTAATATAATATCACAAAATAATAACTCAGCCTTCTGAAACAAGGAGTCAAGATTCTCATCTCTTCCCTTGCCAGGGTTGCCTACAAATTCCACACCACAGCTTCTCACAGCTTCCCAGGGTTTTCCTGGGAGAACCATGTCTGTCTGTGCTCAGAGGAGATGTGACCACCCATCCCATCCCTGCCCACCTGCTGAAGATGCCCAGGGAAGACCATGTCTGTCTGAGCTCAGAGATGTGATCACCACCCATCCCTGAGCTCAGAGGAGATCTGATCACCACCCATCCCATCCCTGCCCACCTGTTGAAGATGCCCAGGGAACACCATGTGTCTCTGTGCTCAGAGATGTGATCACCACCCATCCTGTCCCATCCCATCCCTGCCCACCTGTCAAAGATGGACAAGGAACACCATGTGTCTCTGTGCTCAGAGATGTGACCACCCATCTCTGAGCTCAGAGGAATTGTGACGACCACCCATCCCATCCCTGCCCACCTGTCAAAGATGGACAAGGAACACCATGTGTCTCTGTGCTCAGAGATGTGATCACCATCCCATCCCACCCCATCCCATCCCATCCCATCCCATCCCATCCCATCCCATCCCATCCCTGCCCACCTGTCGAAGATGGACAAGGAACACCATGTGTCTTTGTGCTCAGAGATGTGATCACCATCCCATCCCATCCCATCCCATCCCCTCCCATCCCATCCCACCCCACCTGTCGAAGATGGCCCCGACGCCGGCGCTGTGGGCGCTGTTCCGGTGCACGTGCAGCCCCGTGGCCAGCAGGATCCCGTCCTTCACGGCTATGGAGCGGTGGGAGAAGGAGGCAATTAGCAGCTCGTTCCACCCTGGGGAGGAGAAAACCAGCGAGGCTGCAGGTTAGAGCCACGGGATCCTCGGGAAGTTTGGGATTCGGTGACGTCACCTCTCTAACAGGAGCCTTTGCTGCAGGAACGTGGCTGGATGTGGGAAAGGAGGGGGGAGCCAGCTTTTTCTTGGATGTCAGGGAAGGAAAAAACCATCAGGAACCCAAGGCACTAAAAATAAAGCTAGTAAGGGGAGCAGTTTCCTCTATAAACCGTGCAGACACCGAGCAAACAGCTCTGCCTGAAGCTCCCTGTGGGTGTGGAGCCCTGAGCTCGCCTCTGCCCTCAGCCTCCCAGCACTTCCAGCCCTATCAGCACTTGCTATCAGCTCATCAGGCTCCTCCTCAGGCCACAGAAGTTCATTCACCAGCCCTGAGCCCTGTAAAAGGGACCGTGAAATCTCTGGCTTTATTTGTGGGTTTGTTGCTTCTGCCATGAAAATGCTGGGAGGGATTGGGTCTGTTCTCTGCACAGCCCCACGTCTGTGACTGCTTCCACAGCTGCTTGGAAAACTGATTTTAGTCTTATCAGCTGGGCAGGCTGCTTTGGGATATGGGAAGGACATCCTCTGAGCCCAGACCTACAGGGAAGGGAAGGGAGACGTGACCTCCACACCTTCCAGCTGCCCTTCCCAATCCAACACCTCTTCAATTCCTAAATCCATCATAGGCTGATGGAGTTCATTCAGGAGTTCCAGAACTCCTGAAACAAAGCCCCAGTGAGAGGAAATGCTGCCAAACTCGAAGGGTGGAAATCTGGGTGACTTCCAGCCAGGAGCAGCATCTTCAGTAAGACAAGATGGGGTCTTCTGCAACACCCCTGGCCCGAACATGTTCTGGAGTTCTGGTCCAGAAACCTCAGGATATTTGGATTTAGGTTTTTTTTCCCAGGCTGGAAAAACAACACAACAATATCCCTCACCTCTCCTGTCACAAGAACACATCTCACAGCCTGGAACAAACACAAGGCCCATGTGTGCTGTATTTACCTTCTGCTGCAGCCGTGGGTTGTGCCATCAGAAATGTTGACAAGGAATAAAGTTCACTCTTTCCTAAGTGGCCACAGGATGTTTCCACCCCAGCACGGGAACATTTCTTTGGCTATTTACTGGGTGAGGCCTGGCACTTTCACAGGGATTGCAACACTGAAACCCGAGCAGGACGGAGGAGAAGGAGCCTGCAGAGCCCCATTCTCTGGAGGAAGAGGAACTCCCAGAGGCAGATCCATGGGAATTTGTCACACACAGCCCCACAGCAGCTCCAACCAACAGCAACCAGAGCTGGCTCTCCACACCCCTCCAAACTGGGCTTATTCCAGTGAAGGAGGGCTGGATTCATCAGCATCCTTCCTCTGGATTATTCCACGTAGAGCTGGGATGTTGCAGCTGGAATGGGTGAGATTTCCCCACCTTGGCTTTCCCAAAGAGCTGCCGAGACAGAGGCAAGCAGGGAAAATTCACCACAACCACAGGCAGCAAGCTGGAATTAGAGACCAGCCAAGCCTCCCCTGAGAGTTCTGCATTTCAGCCCAAGCTCTGGAGTGGCACAGCAGAATTCTGGGACTCCTGGGACTCCTCTCTCACCAAACTGGGTGGCTGCAGCCTCCAGGGGTGCTCTGGCTCCTCTGGGACAGGGAAGGCACTCTGGCAGAGCAGTGTCAATCCATTTCTCTGCCAAGTTTCCCCACCAGCCCTACAAACCCAGCTGCAGGGATGTAACACTCAGCACCCTGTGCCAGGCTGAGAAAACATCAGGTTATTCCTGTCTCAGCTTGGAAACAAGAAAACCAGTGGAAAACACGCTTAAAAAGTCAGGTTTCCTTCCCTTCCAAACAGCTCAGAGAGGGAGTATTTTTAAATGATTCAGGATTTGAGGAGAGCTGCTGCCAGCCCATCCAGCACTGCTCCTCCAGAGCTGTGTGCTCCACTTGTTTTGCCTCCCAGGATGCCTGACTGAGGCTCTTAGCTGGATTTTAATGCTTCAATATTTCATGGGCAGCTGTTCTCAGCAGGCCACTCAATAATACATTGAGCACTGCTTGGAAGGCCTGGGGAAGGTTATCTGAGGCCCTGGCAGAGGTGTCTGGAGCAGGGAGCTCCAGGGAGCTGCTCAGCAGTCTCAGGGTTGGAGCCACCAGGAAAATTTGGGATGGGAGGGGGTTGGCAGCTCCTCTCCTGCTGTGTGGAGCGAGTGACAATCAGAGAACACAGGTCAGGAGTTCTCCAGCTCCAGTTTTAATCAGCTGCCTGCTGAAGAGAGAGGAAAACCTGGAACTGCCATGGTGGGGTTGGGCTCCACTTCCCGAAAGGAAAAGGCAGAGCTTTGTCTGAATCCAGCTCTTTGCAGAAAGCCCTCCAAGATCCCCACAGAGAGGCTTCCCTGCTCATCCCCTCTCACAAGAGGCTCTAGAAATCCTCCTCTAATCCACACTTTGGATGTTCCAAAGGGCCCAGAGCCAGCTCTGGCAAAATCCATGGAGCACCTTCACCCAGAGGCTGCAGGAGCCATCCTGGAAGGGTGCAGCACCTGGACAAAAGCGAACTGGGGGGAAATAAAAGGAACTTTAAAAGTACCAAGGACTTCAACGTCCCTGCCTTACAAAGAGCTTCATGCCTCAAACACATCCTCCCCGAGCTCTGCTCCTGGTTTCTTGCCCTCCACGAGCTTTGTGCAGCAGCAGGAGCTTGAGTTCACTCAACAGGGGAAGACCCTTCCCACAACCAACTGCTTCCACCTCCCAAATCCTGCTCCTGCAGCCCCCCTGCTGCACAAGGAAATTTAAAATAAGCCCTGAGAGTTCTATTTTCATCTTGGTGGGTGGGAGAAGAAGTGAGATGTACTTTCCTCTCCTCTCTGGTTTTAATTATGATCAAACATTTCAGTTTGATGAAATTTCATGGGGGCCTGAGCCCACTTGGGTTTTTCAAGGCTCAGTTTGGGAGGAAGGCAGAGTTTAACTCCTTTGGTTTAAGTCAGCCAGCTCCTCATGGATCAGAGATGAAGCTGGGCCATTTTTCAGCTGATTTGCCGCATTTTGGATCCAATTCACCAACACATCCCATGCAAGGCTTTCAAAATCCTATTTAAAAACTGAACTATCAGAGTGTCAATAATCAATTAAAGATTTTCAAGCTGCCAGGACCTAAACCTGAGGGTACAACCGGTCCCAGGGGACACTGAGCAGTGCCCACGTGGGGACAGATGTCACTCACCTGCTCTGAGCAAGATGACCTGGTCATCCAGGGGCAGCTCGGAGAAGTGGGGGATCCTCTTGGCCCACTCCACCAGGGTGAAGAGCTGCTTGTCTGCTGCCTGGCAGATGTTTGTCACCGGGTCATTGGGCTGCCAAAAAAATCAAAATAAAGAAATTAAAAAAAAGAGCTGGAAAAGCTTGGAAAAGGCAGAGTGAGGAAAAGAGAGGCTGGAGGAGCAGCCTGCCTGCCATCGCCGAGGTGGGTGTTATCACTCACAGGCAAAGGAAGTGATTTGGCTGCTCCACCACGAGGGCTGTAATTGTTTTTAGCAAGCCCCAACATGGGAATTGGGAGTGCTGGGACTCCATATCCATCACCCTGACTGATGAATCCAAGCAGCTCCAGCCTGGGGAAGGGCAGACTCCAGCCTCTCCCAGCTCAATAAACCAGCACCAGAGGGGGCATTACAGAAAAAAAAAATCAAAAAAAAAAAGAGAAAACCCCTTTCCTTTGAAATATTATCCAGTAACAGAAACCATCTGCTCTCAAGGAGGACAGTCAGCCTAAACACACCAAATCCCTGTTTAAAGGAACTGCTCACAGCTCAAGTGGATTTGTGATTAGGAACTGGAAGAGCCTGTTTAACCCTGGGGAAGGCTGAGCTCGCTGATCCAAGCGAGTCTGTAGGGTTTACCTCTCTGGACAGGGATGCACGAGCCCTTCCCACCTCCCTCTGTAATCCCTGCTGATACCCAGCAGCTTGCATTTTACAATTAGCTTCCCTCCATGTCCTTAAAAGAGCAGTTTCCAAACTGGAGGAGAAGTGTTTACTTCACCCCTGGCTTGCAGGGGGAAGGGGTGTAAATTCAGAGGAAGAGCAGACAGGAATGTCAGCGTGACCTGCGGCACAGCCCCCTCCCAGAGGGGGCTCCCTCAGAGCCCTGGCAGCAAACCCAAAGCTCTGATGCCTCCGTGGCCAACATCTCCCATTCTCCAGGCTTAAAAATAGCCAGGATTTGGCAAGCTCGGGGCACCTGCCCTGGGAGCATTTCCACCTGTCGCGTGTAGAGATGGATGGGCACAGGCTGGCACCGCGCAGGGATGGGCCCCCCCTGTCCCACCCCGCTCCAGCAGCTCCCCCAGGGCTGCAAGGGCAGGGCAGTCTCGCCCCCAGGGAGCTGGGGCTCTTCCCTGAGGAAGGAGAGGTGAGCAGGGACTGGGCTTTTCCCAGGAGAAGGAGATCAGATGGGATTTCCCCTGGAGAAGGGGAAAACTCAGAAGTGCGTGTGAGGAGGAGCTTTGCAGGGTTCAGGGTTCCACTGGAAGCACTGGGAATGTGGATATTCAGAGGCAGGAAGGGGGAGAAGGGACACCAGAGGCCCTGAACATCCCTGACCTCAAGTTTGATCCCAGTTTGCTCAGCCAGGTGGAGAATCCTGGCATCCAGGTGGGGTGGGATGGGGATCATGACTTATGCTCCAGCAGAACCCAACCCTTGCAGCAACAAGGGCCTGCAGAGCCCCACAAAAGGGGTAATTTAGGTAAATCAGATGTTTTTGCCAAAGCTTTTATCAGGGCTGGCTCCTGGGCAGGGGCTCCAGGTGCCCCAGCCCTGGCTGTCCCTCCGTGGGCAGCACAAGCTGTCCCCAAGCCCTGGTGCTCCAAAGCCTCATCCTCGGCTTCAGTTCCACCTCAGATGGCAATTCCTGGAACCACCACGGCTCTTCCTCGCAGAACCTGATCACTGGAGCGTGAGAAGCAGCTAAAAGTGTCCAGAGGGCCCTGCCTGGCTCCAGGAGGGGAAGGGCAGTGCTGGAAACCCTCCCTGTGCACGGAAAGCAAATCCCCTCCTGCAGTAAATAAATAGCAAGGGCTCGGTGCCGGGGTGTGACAGAGCCAAAGGGCACCTGATCCTCCTGGAAAACTGCAGCTGATCCTCCTGGAAAACTGCAGCTGATCCTCCTGGAAAACTGCAATTGGAGGCATCTTCCCCAAAATGGGGACTTGAAACCAGACGTTCAAAGGCCAGTTAAGAGCCAGTGGGGAGGACAGCTCTCAGGTACAGGCTTTGCCTTCTGGCCAGGAGCCTGTCCCAGGCCGTGCTCGCAGGGCAGGAGCCCAAATTGCCAAGGCATGGGGCAGAGGCAAAGCCACCCCCTGGGACAGGGACATGGCACAAGGTGACAGCCACAGCCACGAGAGCTTGGAGGGACAGGACAAGGGGGAATGGATTTGAACTACAAGAGAGCAGGGTTAGAGCAGATATTGGGGAAAAATTCTTCCCTGGGAGGGTGGGGAGGCCCTGGGGAAGCTGTGGCTGCTCCATCCCTGGAAGAGCTCAAGGCCAGGCTAGACAGAGCTTGGAGCAACCTGGGATAGTGGAAAGTGCTTTTAAGATGATTTTAAGGTCCCTTCTAAGCCATTCTGTGTGGGTGCCAATCCCTAAATCACCCTGCCACCCCCATCCCAGCCTGGCAATGTCCCTGCAGGTCACCAGCCCGACTGCAGAGGCACAAATCAAAGCACCCAACACACGAGGCACACAGCAAACAGCTCAGTGTTCTCCCTGTGTTTATCAGGGCCTCGATTTGTCTGCCTTTCCATCACCTGGGCTCTGGGGAAAGGCAGCAGCTCCTCTGTCTTCCCTCTCCTCATCCCGTGGTGGCCTCGTCACCAGGAGCTGCTGATCTCATCCATCTGCTGAACCTGCTACAAATGTCACCTCGTGCTCGACAATAATAGGGCATTTCAACGAGCCTCCTGCTTCTATTTAGATGCAACACACATCCTTGTTCACAGTAATGCCTGTTGAATTATGCAGGAACCGGCTTTCAATTTGAGGAGACTCGGTGCCAGACGAAGCCATTTATTTCAGCTCCCTCTCTGGGGTTTGTTTTCAAGTCAGCACCAGGCTGGCTCCAGCTCCCCTGAAGGATTTTTGATCCTGTGGGCAGTCAGAGCCTCTCTGAGCCCCTCACTAACTCCTCCAAAAAAACCAGCCTCGTGGGGATGGATCCTCCTCCTAAATGCAGGTGAGGGTTTGTACCTGATCCTGTGCCTGATCCTGGAGTTTCACTGAGGGATTGGCTCTGTCCATACCACAAAGCCTTGGATATCCAAGAGCTACCTAAGGAATGCTAGGAAAAGCTGTCTTTGCAAAAAGAGCATCCCAAAAAGCCAATTACAGTTGTCCTGACTCCCAGATCCCTCACAGAATTCTGCTGGAAGGGACACTAAAGATGCTCTATTTCCAACCCCCTGCCAGAGGAAGGGATTTCTGACTCAAACCCTCCAAGCCTCATATAAAGAGAGAGATAAAAGTATTGTTTTTTGCAAATAAACACTGCAGAGTCCTTGCACTTGCATTTCATCAGCTCAGCCTCACAGCCACCCAGCAGGAACTGCACAGGGGTATTTCAGTGCATGAGCCTGCTCTCTTGGCTCAGCCAGCCCAAATGTTGGCAGAGTGCAACCTCTGAGTCCCTCAAAGGACCAGGAGATGCTCCCCACTGCAGCCTCAGTTGCTGTTTTTCAGAGGAATTCCTCTATTCCCACTGCTTTTACAGGAAAAGGGGCTATGGAGGAGTGGGGACTGTCCCTAACACGGCCTGGGCTGCAGAGGGTCCATCCCAGAAATGCAATTTCAGAGGAGGCTTTGGCTCTCTCATTAGGAGGCTGCTGCTTTGCAGGGAGATTTTTCCCTTTTGATAAGGGAATCTCATAGGAAAGGACCCAAAACACTTCCCCTCACTCTCCACAGAATCCCAGACTGGTTTGGGTTAGAAGGGACCTCAAGACATCTCATCCCAACCCCCTGCCATGGGCAGGGACACCTTCCACCAGCCCAGGCTGCTCCTGTCCCATTTCCCTCTCATCCCTCTCTTGGGCACACAACAGCCTGGTACAGCCCAGATGCTCCAATCAGGCCCAGTTATAATGCAGGTTTCTAACTGGGAAAAGAACTTGAAAGCCAACTCATAGGCAAATTTCTCCAGGTTTTCTCTCCTCAGAGCCAAGCAGCTGCATAATTCTGCACCTGAGGAGTCACACCCTCATTCTCCAGCTCTTATCTCTCTGCACTTCAGCCACACAGGTTTATTGCCTCAATTGGACTCTGAGCTCTTCAGTGCCTTCCTGCCTTTCAGCACTGAGAGCTGTTATTTACAATAAAACCTTCTCTGTGAGCCTTTTAATCACTCCTTACAGCACCTCTCACTTCCCTGTGGCTGTGGGACAGAAGACACCAAACGCTGGTGGCTGCTGGCTCTGGCCCCCAGGGGCTGGGCTGGCTCACAGAGCCTACAGCAGAGCCAAGAACTGCACTTTTATTTTCCACAGAGGACAGCCCCTCTGTGCCCCAGCTGTCCTGATGGTCACTCTGATGTCCCAAAGAGGGGCTGGGCAGAGGTGCTCACCGAGCTGGGGGTCAGGCCCATGTTTGCCTCGATGTAGGTCTCTGTCTTTGGCTCCACGGCGAGCTCGGCCTCCAGGATCTTCTCCACGGGCATGTCCTCGTTGGCGCTGCTCGTGGACTCTACCTCGTTCTCGTTGCGGTCCTTGCCCCGCTGCCTCTCCTCCTGCACGGCTGCAGGGACACAGAGGGACAGTGGCAGTGTCAGACTGTGACAGGAGGGTGATCACACAATCACAGCGTGGGGAGAGACCTCCAAGATCATCGAGTCCAACCCGTTCCCTGACACCTCAAGTCAACCCTGGCAGCCAGTGCCACATCCAGGCTTTGTTAAACACACCCAGGGATGGTGACTGCACCACAGAATCACAGAATAATGAGGCTGGAAGAGACCTCTAAGATCATCGAGTCCAACCCGTGCCCTAACACCTCAACCAGACCAATAGCACCAAGTGCCATGTCCAGCCTTTTTTTAAACACATCCAGAGATGGTGATTCCACCACCTCCCTGGGAAGAGCATTCCAGTGCTTTATTATTCTTTTGGTGAAAAATGTTTTCCCGATATCCAACCTATACCTTCCCTGACATAGCTGGAGCCTGTGTCCTCTTGTTCTGTCAGTGCTGCCTGGTGGAAGAGACTGATTCCCACCTGTCTACAACCTCCCTTCAGGAAGTTGTAGAGAGGAAAAAAAAAACACCTCCCCAGGCACACAATTCCAGAACTTTATCACTCTTTGTGTGAAAAACTTTTTCCTGATATCCAACCTGCATTTCCCTTGGTGCAGCTGGAGACTGTGACCTCTGGCTCTGTCAGAGTAACGTGGTTGTCACCACTGAGTCAGGAAGGGACAAGTGACACAGACTCCACGGCAGAAGGCTAAAGAGGTTAGAAACCCCCAGTTTATTGGAACCCCTTCTTTTATACCCTGGTTCCATACAGGAGGACCAGACTGGTCACTTAATCAACACATTTCACGTGATTGCTTAATTAAGAAGACATCCTTCGGTAAACACCTTCTGAGGAAAACAACTTGCTGCAAACACCACCTGCAGATTGTTCACCATTCTTTCTCTCTGCCTCCCTAAAACTTCCCAGACCAATTCATGGGAAAGCTTGTCTGGCTTTCTCTCTCTCTGAGCAGACTGTCATCTCCACAATGTGATGGCTGACCCTCACAATTAAAAGGCAAATATCATGTACATATGTTAAGAGAAATTTTACAGATTTATAGTTATGTTTTAACCCCCTTGTGCTGTCATCGGGGGGTGGCCTGGGTTTGGGACATTTGGGAGGGTTGGCTCATTACCATGGCAGCTGACCTCCAATCAAGATTTAAGGAAGTCATCTCCACCACTGGACAGTGAAGAAGGAGTCAATGGACAGAATTCTGGAGGAGCTAAAGGGTTAAAATGCAAAACCTCCATTGTGTGGAGGAGCACATGGTGGGAAAAATCCTCTGCTCTCAGTGCTGTAATATTTTATCTATTCAGTCTTCTGTTGTATTTTTGGATAAGGTTTTGATAAACCTTTTAAATTTTTTGGAAGTGAGTAGCATTTCTCACAGAGTCACCCCCAGTCCCTGCAGGTGACCATGAAACCCCAAAGCCCCTGCAGGATCACCCCCCTCTCTGATGTCTGCTCCCTGTGTGGCCAGAGCGGGATATCCCAGGAAATGTGAGATTTGGGGAAGGCAGGGAGCAGCCCCAGCCTGGGAAATCAGCTCTATGTCAGGGATGATCCTGCTTGGACAGGGAAAGCCCTTTCTCTGCAGAGGGACAGGTCCTGGAATTAAAAAGGTCAAAGACAAATGATGGAAAGCACCACAAAGGACGCCACACTTCGAGTCATTGTGGGAGAGGGAAGGGGGTGCGTGAAGGGATAGAATCAGGGAATCCTAAAGAAAAGTCAGGTCAGTTTAAAGCAGAAATCCCAAATTCAGCCACCTCTGAGGCTGGCAGTGCTGAATCTCCCTGGAGGCCATGCCTTGCCCCTCTCCAGCTCCCTGGCCCAGCTCCCATGGGACAGGAGCTCCATGCAAACATCCATCCTGCCTTTGGCTCCAGACAGACAGGAGAGACCTGTCCCAAATCCTGTGGGGTGGGAATGATCTTGCCAGCAGCCTGTCACATGCTGAATATATCTGAGCAGCTCAGAGATGAGAAACACTTACTAGATGCTAATAACATTATTATTATTATTATTATTAATGACCTCCTTGGAAACCTGCACACGCTTTTCCTACACCTGGAAGGCAGCTTTGTGCAGCTGCAGTGGGAACTCTCTCCTTCTCCATCACCTTGTCAGGGACCCTAAATCCCACACTTTTCCACACAGCACTGTTTCCCACAGCACATTTGAGCCCACTCTGCTTGAGAACAGCCCAAGCATCTCTGGCCATGAGACACAACTCTCTGAACTCACCCAGCTCTTTGCTGAGGCACTCCAATAACGTCAAAACCCTGCTATTTATTGACATTACCCCAGCATTCCCTCCCTGCTGCATCTAAAGCAGGTTATGGGATGTTCAGGTAGAGCAGCAGGGGCACAGGTGTTATTTGGGGGAAACCAGAGCTGGCTGTGACACAATGAGGCTTTTCAGACCATTAGTGAGAGCAGCTCTAGGCCAAGTGCAAAACCAAACCCTGCAATATGAAACTCCAGGAAAAAAATAAAATAAAATGAAATGAAATGAAATGAAATAAAATAAAATAAAATAAAATATAAAATTGAAACACAGGCTAAAGGAGCCCTCTCTGCCTGTTGATGCCATTATCCCAGCTCCTGGGGCTGATTCCCAGTGCTCTCCCTCCTTCCCTCAGCATTGCTGTTTGCTGCATGTCAACAGAGCTCAGGCTCTGCCATGTGAAAGCTGTTATGCAAAAAGGCAAAAGGTTCCTTTCTGCAAACTTCTCTGGGCTGCAGAGGCTCCCCAGGCCCACCAATGTTTTCTGCTGGGCTGCCAGAGCCAGGTAAACTCAGATTTGTGTCGTGGCTTTTGTCCATCTGGATTCTTCTTCTTCTTCAAGAAAATTCTTCTTCTTTTTCAAGCCATCATAAAACCCTGCTTTAATTTCTCCCCTCCAACCCCACTCCTGCTTCTCCAAGCATCAGAAAGAGGGAAGTTTTTGCTTAATGCCAAGCCTCCTTCGGCAGCACAGATGCACAAAGATTCCTCTGGGCACATTAGAGGAGATGAAACACCTACTAAATAACACGAAAGCCTGAGAGAAAGGCAAACCCTCCACAAATGGGATCTTGTAAAAAGACTTAAATGCCAAAGTGCTGATGGAGATTTGCAGCAGCTCTCAAGGATGAAGGTGCAAAGTTGGGATCACTGGGGTCGCTCCAGCGTGGTGTTAACCCCAAAAACACATCCTCGTGCTGGACATGGGATTTGTGGCAAAACATTGCAGAGGGCTGGGCAGACAGGGGCTGCGTAAAGCCTTCAGTCTGCAGATCTCAGCCTCATCAGTGCCACATTCCTGGGCTGAAGAGTCAGACAAAATTCAGGGGCTGTGGGAGAGGATCTTACAGGGCACCTCGACTGAGATCAGGCTGAACTCAACTGATACAAACAATTCAGAGACAGACGGGCAGAGATCAGACATGTAAGGAGTTCTTTCTATTGATCCGAGCTCGGAGCTGCTGCACCAGAAAATTGGTGCTGCAGCTCCTGCAGAGCTGGTCAGGGGACAGCTGACTCATCCCAGCTCAGCCCCACGCACAGCCCGCACTGCAGCAGTGACACCCCGGGCACAGCAGATGGCACAGGCACACCCAGCAGCCAAAGATAAACCCAGCCCTCAGCAGGGAGCGTCATCTGCTCTGCCACACCCTGCTGCCGAGCCCAGGCAGGACAGCAGGACAAGTGTGGAATCACTTGGCCATCACCCCCGTTCATCCATCCATCATCCATCCATCCATCCATCCATCCATCCACAGGCACAAGCCCAGTGGAAAATGTCCAGATTTTCTGCCACCAGCCTTTCCCTGGAGTTCCTGAGGACGTGATAAGCTGTTGCTCCTTCTTAGGAGAGGTGCTGAGGGACACACCACCATGCCAGGAAAAAATGGGGTCTGTGTTGCTTGAGATGTAGGAAAAAAACTACACACAGAAGAGAGGTAAAAAAAGAAGGACAAGTAGTTTTTTACCCAGGAAATCTGGGAAAATCTCCAGCAGTGAGCAGACCTCTCACCATGCAGACCTAGGACCTCATCCCTGGAGTCCATCCCCACTCTGCTGGGGATTAGTCAAACAAACCACAGTGGAGATGACAAAAACACATTTTTCAAATGGATCTGGTCTGGGAACTGCGCTACTTTGTGGATTTGGTTTTTATTTATGTTTTTAAGAAGAGAAACAGCAAGGTGGACCTGCATGGCAGCTTGTCTGGTGACACCAAAACAGGAATAACCTTTTTCTTCTCAGCTTCCCAACAACGCTGCTTTTCCTGGTCCTGAGGGTGGCAGAGCTTTGGATGAACAGAGTGGGTCTATCCACCTCAAACGCAGGAGCTGAGGCAGGAATTTGGGGCTTGCTGCATCCCAGAAAAGCCCCTCGTGGCCACGCCGTGTCTCCAGAGCTGAGCTCCCCAGCCCTCTCCCCCCTGCTGATGGCTGTGCCAAAGCTTTTATTTCTCTTCAAGGAGCCTCGGATGGCTGAGAGCTTTCCCAGGCTGGTTTTCTAAACATAAGGGAATCATTTCAACCTTGCAATCCACTTGAGGAGAAAAAAAGATGCAGTCAGAGAGCTCGGAGAGGCAGCCCCACCTCCTCCAGCTATGTCTGAGCCCAGCCAAGGACAGAAGCCTGTGTTTTCCATGGCACCTGATGAAGAGCCTCTCCTGTTATTCTGCCTGATTTGGTCTGTACTTGCCTCAGGCCAGTTGCTGTCATGTTTCATCCTGAGCTTCTCCAGCCCATCTGCACTTCCCCAGGTCATGGTACAGCAAGACATGGAGCCCCGTGTGTCCGAGCCACTCCTTGGTGACCACTGGTGTCTTTAAAATCCAAAATGTCTCATCCTGCGGACTGCAGATGAGCCTCAGCTATCCAAGCCCGAGAGCTGATGTGCCAAAATACCAGATCCATCCTCCTTGGACACCTTGGCTTTGCTCATGGGGCAGCATCTGATGGCTAAAACAGCAGCTTTGAGTCCATTGCAAAGTGCCACCCAATGAAGTTCTGGTGCCCAAACCAACCCCTGTGGGTGGCCACGCTCCTGGGCACTGCACTTCTGCACCAAAGGAATGTCACTGGAGGCAGGGAGAGGATTTTCCACAGGGCAATGGTGTTTCTGAGAGGGCAGGAGCAGCACGGCTTTGTTTATTTGCTGGGAGAGACCTGGAGGCTACAGCAGCTCCAGTGACACTCACCCAGTGTCAATACAGAGCTTTTTGGGATGGAAATCCACCCCTCCGGGAGCAACAGGGTGGGGGTTGTTCTTTCCATGGGGAAAGAATAATTCCCTGCCCCAAAAATGGGATTTTCTCAGGGAAACACCTCTCTGTGAACTGAGAGCACAGGGGGAAGGCACCAAAGCTCAGCCCAGAGAGCCCCAAACCTGCTCAGTTTTAGTTTTCCCCCATCCTGCAGGTTATTTATGAGGTGCTGGGTGGGGTTATTGGGCATTTTCGTTTCTCTCACACTGGAATTTATTGGGCTCTGCTGCCTTTCATGAAGCCACATCTCTGCTGTGTATCATCAGCATCTTGAAGCATTTATGCCCCAGGTACCTGTTTATATCCAAAATGCCAAGACAGCTGAGAAAACAAATTCAGACAGTGTTTCTTCTGCTTTGCTTTCGTGTGTCACCTTTTTTTTTTTTCTTTTTCAGAGGTGCAGCTTTCTGCTACTGTAAACAACCTCAAAAGCTGCGACACATGAAATAAATGGGGTTTTTTTCCTCCAACATTTTCAACTGAACACTGTAATTTTTTTAAGGGATGCAAAATACCACCGTGATAATTAAAAAGTGTAACTTCAGAGTGCTAAAAAGTGGATTGAAACCTTTGCATGCAGTTAGTTCACAAGAGGAACAGCTCTGGAAAACAACAGCAAAAAATCTCTAGCTCACTTCACTCTCTGGACACTGAAGCATAAACAAACAGCAACAAAAGGAGAGAAAACCATAAGCCAAACTCGTTTTTTCAACCTAAGAGCATCCTTAAAAACAAAAAACCCCAAACCCAGCCTCATTTAACCAGCTGGTTTAAAGAGCAGCACTTTAAAAGGATATAAGAAACAAGCTCATTAAGCTGGAAGACATTTTCCATTCCAAAATTACTCCTAAAAATAACTGTGCTCTTGAACTTTGCCCCTTCACTAGGCTGTGGCCACTTGCCTGCTTTCACATTCACTTGGACAGTGGGCTGGAAACCTGAATTCCTGCTCTTTGTCCCCAGATTCCTCGTGCTGCTGAGGGATGGTCCAGGAGCTGGGATGGCCCAAACTGCAGGTGGATGCACAGCCATGGCAGGGGATCAGGCACAAGTCCATGTGGGAATCTTCAGTCCCTCTGGGCTAAGTGACTGAGCAGCTCCCTGGAAACATGGGAAGGTCTCCAGGCTGGGGAGATGCTGCAAGTCCAACCTTTCCCAGGCTGAACCCCTCAGCTTGGCAAGTGAGAGGGGGGAAAAACCAACCCACAAACACAGGAAGAGAGAGAATTAACTCAGTCTGTGAAGTCTAACGAAGCCCTGAAGTCAGAGAGCAGGCGTGCAGCTGGACAGATGTCCTGGATGCTCCGAGCCCAGCTCTGGAACTCAGCACAGCAGCTGCACCTGCACCTGGATTTAGGAACAACTTTGTTCTCAGCCACGCAGCCTGAGCTGCAGGTGCTGCAGGGGAAGAGCTCTCTGCTCTCCAGATGGGCTCTGAGATGCACCAAGAGCCGCTTCACCCGCCTGGCACCTGGCACCAGGCTGCAGCTGGCACGCGGGAGCCCAGCGGGTCCTGCAGCCCAGCCTGGCTCTCCCCAGGAGCCCCTCACGTCCGGGGCAAGGCTCTGGGAGCCGGTTCCCAACGCTGCTCCCTGTGAGCGGCCACGGGAGCATGGGAAAGGCTCCTCGCTGGTATTTCCTGCTCCCTGTGCGATCCCGAGCGCTGCCAGCACTCCTCACCCGGGACAGCCCCAGCTCACCACGCCCCCGCCGACCCTGTCACCTCTCTGTCACCTCTCTGTCACCTCTGCTGTCACCCCCTGCCACACAGGACCTCCCGTTCCAAGCCCCCCTCCCCGGTGTTTACTCTTCACAAGAGCTCTGCCTCCCCGATTCCGAGGCAATTCCCAATTTTTCCCTCTCAAAGCCAAGGCTGCTGATGCACAGACACCTCAGACCCTGATGAGGAACAGATTGAGCAGGGAGAGTTCAGCTCCTGGATGCAAACAGCCACCCCCACAATAATAATCCCTGCATTAGTCAAGATCCCTGATGGTAATCTTAATTTTGTTGACTATCCGGTATTTAGTGGGAGACAAGAGTACAAAAAACCAAAGCCTTACACAGCTGGCAGAAATTCATAGGGGAAAAAAATGTTCCCAGTTGGTTATTTATTATGGCTGCAGTATCTCAGAGAGCATGGGGCTCATTCACTGCGAATGTTGGGATCTCTCTGACGTGTTCCTAGCAGGGAACAGCCAGAAGGGATGCACACAGCAGGAGGAATCCTCTGCTCCTGCAGGCTTTCCCCTCTTTAAGCCAAGATTTGTAGCCCTGAAGGATCCCTGTCCCCCAGCAGGGCCACCCTGGGTATGCTGCTGTTTCGGATGGGCACAGGGTGTGCTCTCAGTATGTTCACCTGAGACTCTCAGCTGCTGGGATCAAACCTCCAGCAGGTTGATTTTCCTTCTCTAATCCAAATTCTCACCCAATAACCCTTTTCCTTTCACCCTCTTTAAATGGAGTACAACCTTGGCTCTCACTCCTCCTCCCAGCATCACTCCCCAGCCCAGGCCTGCCTCACACTCAGCCCAGCACTGATTTTAGAGGCTTTTACTGTTCTTGCACTAAATCCCAGCACCTCTGGGCAACAGGAGAGACACTTCCCAGCAGGAATCTGCTGTGCCTTTACACAGCTATAAATTAGGTCTCCAGAACAAGATGTTTTTTAGGGAAATGAGGCTCATAACCCAGGCTCTGTTACTTAAAAGATACAAGGGTTTATGCTAGAGGATAAAAAGCCAGCTACATTGTGAGTACTTAGGCAATGCAGGATTTAGCCCAAAACTCTTCCTCAAAATAGAAGTGGGAGCAGGAGAGATGTAAGGACAATTCCAGTCAGCTGGGATGGGTGCAATGGGAAGAGACCTTTATTTGACAAATCTGGTGGATATCACATGTGAAACTCCAGAGCTCAGCAAGATCCAACTTCTGACTTTCAGCTTTAGGACAACTGAGACATTTCTGTGAGACACTGAATTTTTAGGTTTATAACAAGAGACAGGGGAGTTATTCCAGCTTTCCCTACATGTGGATTATGCCTAAATCTTCTAATGATTGCTGTCAAATCACCAGTTCCTGCCCTTCCCCATCCAGATCCATCAGCACTGCCTGAGCGCGCTCCTGGAGTTACCAAGATCCCATCTGTCACACTTTTAAATAATTGTCTGATCATTATGAATTCATTTGCTATTCATTGTGATAATGTTAATCAAGATGAATTAATAGAGTCCTCACACTGTACGTGCTCCCTGGGGACTTCCACCACCATTTAGAAATTAATTAATGGACCTGTAATTTTTAGCGGCGCTGCCCATGCAATCACCACCAAGGGCAGGCAGGCAGCAGGTACCTGCTCACAGGGTGGCAGAGTTCCAGCATTCCTGCTGCCTTTCCCAGCCCTGCACACCTTGTTCTGGGGGGCTGAAAGGTAGCTGGGTCAGTGGAAGGCTCTGGATGCAGTACCAGGGGAAGGGGATGCTCTGTATTTCTCTCGTTGAACACACAGGAGAATTCTTGGCTTCTTTTTGGTCATCTGAGACTCCCATGGCTCAGGTTTTGGTTCAGATTTTCCCCATCCTGCTGCACATCTCCTGTGGGATCCAGTATTGCCCAGTGCTCTGCACCAAGGGCAATGCCACCCCCACTCCTGCACTGCCCTGAACGCCTCAATCTCTCCATTCCATGGTCTGCTGGGGCAGGAACGTTTGTTCTGAGCACCCAAGGGTTAACTCAGCAGGGCCAAGGAGGTCCCCTGCGTGCCCTGGCAATCCCCCCACACCTCCAGCACAGACAGCTGTGACACTTGGTGATTTTGGTCCTGGGGTAACCCCATAAACTGAGCGTGGCAGGGTTTGCCCAACACTCAGAGCAGCTCCAGCACTGCCCCGTTTATCCAAGGCTCCAGACAGGCCTAAGTGCTCTTCAAAGGCTCCCAGGCTGGAGCTGTGGGCCAGGGCCAGAGCAGGGCTGCCTTTATCAGCCTGTCAGGGAGGCAAGTGTGGCTCTGAAGATGTAAGGGGAGAAAGCAGCACAGAACTGGGGTCACTCTCACGTCATGTCTGCTAAAAGCCTGTTCTGCCAGCTAGATTAGAACAGATGCAGTCAGCATTTAAAAAGATCATTTAAAAGAGGCACTGCTGGCGAAGTTTAGATCCTAAATTTAAATTCCACTAAGGAAGAGTTATCTTAAAGAGACCAAACTGCTTTCTTCTTCCCAATGAGAAAAAAAATGCAGGATTAGGTGCTGAGGCTCTGGCACAGGATGCCCAGAGAAGCTCATCCCCGGAAATGTCCAAGGCCAGGTTGACAGCACTGGATTAGATGCTGAGGCGCTGGCACAGGAATGCCCAGAGAAGCTCATCCCCGGAAATGTTCAAGGCCAGGCTGGAGTGGAAAACGTCCCTACCCATCACCTACACACTGCTCTGGCACTGAGTGCTGCTCCACAGTGAGTGACACTACAAACAGAGACTCTGGAGGCCACCAGATGCTCTGGCTGAGGCGCAAAACCAAACCACAGGCGAGATTTTTGTCAGCGGAGCGACGACACCCCTCGGCAAGGCCGACACCACCTCTGGGTGCCCTCCAAGCTCCCTGCAGCCCCCTGGCCAGGCCTGGCCTTACCTTCTCTCTTCATGCCCATGGCCAGACACTTCTGGTAGCGGCAGTACTGGCAGCGGTTGCGCTGGCGCTTGTCGATCAGGCAGTCCTTGTTGTCCCGGCACGTGTAGGTCAGGTCCTTCCGCACCGTGCGCTTGAAGAAGCCTTTGCAGCCCTCACAGCTGTAAACCCCGTAATGTTTACCTGGGGGAGGGATAAAATTCAGGTTTAAAGGCGGCCCCAGATCCTTTCTTTGCCTGCAGATCTTCCCAGGGTCTCCCTCAGCTGAGTTTTGGGGGGAGCAGAGGGTTCTTGGCTTCCACAGAATCAGGATGCCACCCATGGGTCACATCCTGCCTTCCATCCAGGGAAGGGCCATTGCTGGGCCATACAGCAGGGGTGGGCCAGTGCAGCAGTGGACACGGTGTCCCCCTGTACCCCTGTGAGCTTTCTGAACCCCCCACAGCAGACACACATCTGTGTTCCCACCCTCCACTGTGTTCCCACCCTCCACTTCCAGCCTGGATCGCAGGAGGGGTCCCCAAGGGCTCACAAAGCAGGCAACCAGAGATCTCCTGGAGCAGGGAGCTTTTAGAAGAGCAGGAGAACAAAGGGAATGAGCCCATCTTTATCTCACAGGAGTGGAGAATCTCCACGTCAAGAGCGTCTTTTCATGTGGCCCGTGTGACAGCACCGGTGTGGATCGAAGGATGGGCAGAGGGAGGACACCCCCTGATGCCTTGTTTGCCAGCAGGGTGAGGATGGGACCCCACTGCTGAACAGGGACCTGGGGTCTCCTGGCTCTGCTCTTCATCCCCTGCTGTGAGGCACAGGCAGGTCCTGTCCCAAAGGAGAGCTCCTGCTGGCACTCCCCGTGCTGGCACTCCCCAGGAGCCAACGCCAGCTCTCTGCCACACCCCAGCCCACTGCCCTGAGCCCTGCCAGGGCAGGTGCCAGCCTCACCCGAAGATCTGTCCCCACAGATGGCACATATGTGCTTGGTGAAGGAGGCCATCGTTCCTGAGGGATGTGCTGGCACTTTGAGGACTCCATTGAGCCCCAGGGGTGGCTTGATGTCTTCTGTGCTGGTGACGGAGTTCATGGGCGAGTTGAGCTGTGGAGGGACAAGCAGAGGGCTCAGTTGGGACTGGGGACAGGGGGACATGGGGCTGTGCCACACACAGGACAGGACAAGCAGGGGACACGCTTCCAGTGGGGAGCAGCACTGCTGAACCAAGAGGATTTGGGCACACAAAGGCACAGCACTCATCTGGGCTGGCACAGGAGCTGCGCTGGCTCTGAGCTGGCAGCAGGGTGACACGAGGGGCAGGACATGGCCAGCTCCCCAAGCACCCAGGGCTGACCCTGCCCATCCAAGGAGGATGTTTTTCCATTATTTAACTGGGAAGCAAGTTCCTCCTGCACTGCCCCCACAGCCAGGGCTCAGCAGCCACCCCAGCTTCACACCAGCACGGGACACAGGCAAGAAGATCTGCAGGGGTGGCTCGTGGGAGAGCTGCTGGCTGGGAGAGAGACTTTCCATGGATGATGAAGGCCAGGACACTCTTGTTTAGCTCTGCAATTTATAGATATCCCTCCAGCATTATCTCTCCAAAGGAAAGCTCCGTGGCAAATAAACACATCCCAGCTGCAACAGGGCCTGGATTCCAGAGCTGGAGTGGGTGGGACATGTCCCTGCAACTCCCAAATGTCTCTCCTTCCTTTCCTTGGGCCCCAGCAAGCAGAGAATTGGGTGGAACTGGCACCATGGCACTGCTGTGGAGTGAAGGGTTCCCGGGCTGAATCCCCACTGGGCTGTTACACCCCTGTGTGCAAAGAGAAACTGAGGCACAGAGCTGTGGGACTGACCCATCTCAGTAAGGGAACAAGCTCACGCTGTCCAGGGGGTGATGGGGGACCTGGACTTGGTCAGCTCTTGGTCAGCAGAGCTGGCTGGGATCACTGGGGTGTCCCCAAGGGAATCAGCCTGCCAGAGACTGTCCCAGAGCCACCACCCCAGCCACCCTCTAAACCCAGCATGGATTCACAGGCCTGTGCTTCAGTTTGTGCTTTTCTCTGCTCTAACAGAGATCCCCAGCAACTGCACTTGTCACAAATTAATTCAGGGAAGTCCCAGGGCTTGTGATCTGTCAATTAGAGCAGCGCAGCCGCTCCTCTGGCTTTCAAGTCTCCAGGATGGTGGGGAATATTTGGCAGGCAGACAGCTGGCAGCCACACAACAGAGCCAGGTAAACCCACCCTGGAGAAATGGGATGGATGTGCCTCCCTCTGCCGCCCTGCCTGTGCCAGCTGATGAATCAAAGGATTGGTGCCACCCAGGGATGCACTCCTGGCTTTAGCTGCTGTTTGACAGAGCACACAGGGGAGGGAGGAGCAGGTCCCAGGCAGGAGCACCTCTTTTTGAGTCCCACATGATCTCTGTGCTCCCCTGGCAGCAGGGGTGGCCAGGTCAGGGTGACCTGCCCCAGGAATTCCTCCCAGAGCCCTTTCTGGGAAGTGAAGCCAGCTCCCAGGTGCAGCTGGTGGTGATCCCTGCATCCCTGGCTGTGGGAGCGAGCCCAGAGGCCACGGCTGCCTGATGAAGATAAAACCATTCCCCACCATCTCCCTCAGCCCCAGCAGCTCACAGAGCCCACCCGAGCATCCCCCCAAAAATGCTGGGGGGATGATGGGCAGAGCAAGCCCCAGTCAGGAGGGTGGGGGTCCCACCAACCTTCTCAGCCTGGAAAATCAGCTGCTCAGAGCTGAGTCAGCCCGGGGCTGGGGAGGGGAAAAGTCATCAGTTCCTCTCCCAGCACTGGCTCCAAACCTCAGCAGAGCCACCCCGGGGTTCCCACACCGCCCTGGCGCCTGCCCCGGGAGCACGTGCAGGACAGAGGAGGGGACAGCAGCCCCTGGCCTTGGCACAGCACTTCTGCTCTGGGACAGCAGCCCCTGGCCTTGGCACAGCACTTCTGCTCTGGGACAGCACGGCTCCAGCTCAGCAACGAGCCCAGACAGGGGAGGAACCAGGGCCCTGCTCCCCCAGTGACACCAGCACCTCTCGGCTCCTTCCCCTCCCTCTCCAGCCAGCACTGGCTCCAAACCTCAGCAGAGCCACCCCGGGGTTCCCACACCGCCCTGGCGCCTGCCCCGGGAGCACGTGCAGGACAGAGGAGGGGACAGCAGCCCCTGGCCTTGGCACAGCACTTCTGCTCTGGGACAGCAGCCCCTGGCCTTGGCACAGCACTTCTGCTCTGGGACAGCACGGCTCCAGCTCAGCAACGAGCCCAGACAGGGGAGGAACCAGGGCCCTGCTCCCCCAGTGACACCAGCACCTCTCGGCTCCTTCCCCTCCCTCTCCAGCTCATCACACATCTGAATCCTGGCTCTCCTGGCAAGCAGAGCTTTATTCCTCCTCCTGCCATCCCAAAAAACACCCCAGCCTTTCCCCGGTCCCCCAGGCACCCTTACAAAGAGCATTGTGCAAAGGCAGACGATCTAATCCCACTGTCTGATCTCTCCCCACTGGCCCCCGGGCATCCCGAGCTGCTGCCAGCAATGCCTGGGGCTGCTCCACACAGCCCTGCAGAGGCATGGGAAGTCCTCCCCTCGCAGCTCCTGCTGAAAATCCTGCACTCTTTTCCCTGTTTTCCCGTCATTTTTAGGTAAGAGGGTTGAAGCAGTGTGTTAAATCCCAGAGCTGCAGGGTCTAGCCCCCCCAGTCTGGCCCTCACTCCTGGGCTAGCTCAGCACCAGCATCCCCTGCCCCTGATTTTGGGGCTGTGTTTGCAAACCCTGCAAGGTCCTGCCAAACTCCCAGTGCTGGAGGGAGGGCGCTGGGAGCATCCAAGGGCTGCAGGGTCCTCCCCTCTGCAGAACCAGATGGGGTGGGCTGAGCCCCCTGTTTTTTGGGAGCCTGGCAGCTCCTTCCCCACCCCGGGGACCTCGTACACCGCGTGCCCTTCTGCTCTGCTGCCTCTCCAGAGGCGACGAGGCGTGGCCTGATGGCAAGTGGCATCTGCCATCTGATGCAAACCACCTTCCATCAGTGCCAGCCCTGCCCGGCGACGGGGGCCACACGCCTCATTACCCCTGTGCTGTGCTGTGCTGGCTGGGCCAGGGGGGCTGCGCTGCCCACCGAGCTTCAGCCTCGCTGTCCCCCCCTCCTCCTCCTCCCCCTGCACTCTGCCGGCCCAGGTAGGCGCCTCTGCCCGCTGCAGGGACAGGGACAGGGACCTAATGTGGCCAGACAGGGAACAGATGGCAGGAGCCATTAGGCTGAGGGCCTCCCAAGTGTCACCTTGAGGAAAAACACTTCAGACAAGTCCCTGAACAAAGGACGGGTGCTCCGAGGGCTGGAGCCACCAAGAGCTGGAGCCACAAGGACTGGAGCTATCAGGGCTGGAGCCATGAAGGGCTGGGGCCACCAGGGCTGGAGCCACCAAGGCTGGAGCCATCAGGGTTGGAACCACCAGGAGCTGGAGCCACAAGGACTGGAGCTATCAGGGCTGGAGCCATGAAGGGCTGAAGCCACCAGGGTTGGAGCCACCTGAGCTCGAGCTACAAGGACTGGAGCCACAAGGACTGGAGCCATGAAGGGCTGGAGCCACCAGGGTTGGAGCCACCTGGGCTGGAGCCATTAAGGCTGGAGCCAGCAGAGTTGGAGCCACCAGGGCTGGAGCCAGCTCGCTCCCAGCACCATCCCACCACACTCTCACTTCCCCTTCTGCCCTGGAGCTCTGCTCGTTTCGGTTCCCCGCTGGCCGCTCCCAAGCTGCACCTTACAATCGCCCCTTCCCCGCCGTCTACCCGGCTTGTGGCTCCCTCCAGGGTTGCCTCACATCCCCCTTCCCATTCCTTCCCCACCATTTTGGCGCTGGGGCTGCTGATTTTGCTCTGGCTGCCCGTTCCCAGGCACGGTTTCAGTTCCTCTTCCCCTGGCCCTGGGGTGGGAGGGACATGTCCACCCTGCTGCTGTCCCTCAGTGGGAAGCAGGTCCCTGCACCTCTGAGGGGGTCACAGGCTGAATCCTGCATGGGAGAAGCTCATCCAGAGGCAAATCTTATTCCTTTCTGACCAGCACCGGGATGCTGGACCCTGGAGAAGCTGCTGGAGATAGCAGTCATGTAGTAAAACAGCCCCACGTAGTAAAAAGCTCTGTTATTCCTGGGAGTAAATCAGGCCAATATTTAAAAATAAAGGTGCTGGCAGGTGCTTGAGTCCCAGAGAGGGCCTGGAATAAATAAACCTGCAGCCAGTGGCAGGTGGTGGCCAATTCCTTAATCTGCCCTTTTACTAAACATATCCCGTGCGAGCAGCCAGCAACAGGTGGCAGGGGCTGGCCAGCACCCCAATCTGGCTATTTTTAAAAACAGCTTATCTCACCCTGCTTGGAGGGGTTTTTACATAATCTTTAGCCACCGAAGGCCACTCCTCGCCCTGTGAGGAGAAAGGGGCAGCAGCCAGAGGAGCCCTGGGTTTGTACAAGTGACAGGATAAGGGGAAACGGCCTCGAGTTGTGCCAGCAGAGGTTGAGATTGGCTGTTTGGGGTCATTTCTTCATTGAAAGGGTTGTCAGGGAAGTGGTGCGATCACCATCCCTAGAAGTGTTAAAGGTGTGTGGGTGTGGCACTTGGGGACGTGGGTTTGTGGTGGATTTGGATGATCTTAGAGGGTTTCTCCAATCAAAACAATTCTGTGGGGAACATGAGCAGGCCCTGGAGGGGATGTGCTGCTTCCCAGGAAGGAGAAGAATCCCAGACAGTCCTAGGGTGGCTCTGGCTCCTGCCACAGCTACACCAGCTCCCAGGTGACCCAGGTGTGGTCACTACTCCCCTTCCACCCCAATCCTGGGGACAACAGCTGATGGCCAGCTGTGTTCCAGCTGTGCTGGTCCCTCACAACCCACCCAGAGCAGCTCCCCAGAGGAGCAGGACACCTCCAGCTTAGTTTCCTCCTCGTCCTTCTGCTTTTTGCCTCCTCTTGGTGCCTGTCTGCACGAGGAAACCCCCAGAGGTGGCTCCTCCTTGCCCAGACAGGCAGCAGTGACCCCTCAGCAGCGTCCCCTTACCTGCGGGCTGCTGGTGCCGAATCCCAGGCTGGGCGTGGAGGGGACAGACATCGAGTGCGGGCCCATGGGGGAGCTGATGACGGAGAAGGGGGGGCCCATGCCATTGATGGGCGAGCTCAGGGTGCTGATGGGCGAGTGCAGCTGGCCTGGGGAGCCCAGCGAGGAGCCGATGCCCGGCCCGATGGACGGGTGCAGGGACGGGGTGGCCATGGGCCCCCGGCTCGTGGGGGAGTTCAGGGATGTGGAATTCACCTGGTTGGAGAAATCTGCAAGAGAAGGAGGAGAGGAAAGGGGTTGAGTCATCCGTGTGGGACACGGCCCTGAGTTGCAGCCCACTGTTTCTCCCACAAAATTCCCAGTGCAGCTCCATCTTTCCAAACCACCTTCTTCTGGCGAATCCATGCAGGTATCAATGCTGAGAGCATTTCCACCTTGTTAAGGGCATTTCCACCTCAAGCCAAGCATCAGTGCCCTCCTCCACCTCCCTGGCACAGCTCTAAGCTCTGCCAGGGGCTCAGCACGGCTGCTCCAGCTGATTCCCTCCTGCTACAGGATAATTTGGATTTATCACCGGGCCAGGCCGTGCGTGGGGAGCAGTGAGAGCAGCACCCACGTGCTGAGGAGGTGGCTCAGTCTGTGCATCACACACATTTCCATCCACGGGGAATGCTGCGTGTTCAGAGGTTGGATTTGAGGATTTTGGAGGTCTTTTCCAACCTGAATGTCTGTGATTCTGGAAGGGAGGGGAAGCAGGAGCAGCTCTGCAGGCAGCAGGACAGGCTGTGTCTGCCTGTCCCGGGGGAGCAGAGCAGGGGGGCGGGAAGTGGGGCTTATAAATAGACTCCAGTTCTCCCAAGAGGAGACATGGAGCCATTCCTGGCACATTTCCTCCTCATCCTGTCACGCTGCTTGCAAAACAATCCCCAGCGAGGAAGGGGCTGGCTCCGGCCCCCAGGGAGGGGCGGGCGGAAGGCGGCGGGGAAGGAGGGGGGCAGCACGGGCAGGGCTCCCCCCAAAACCCACCCGGACCCCCCAGCTCACACCAGGGACAGGGACACACAGCACGGCCACTGGGGTGTTCATGGTGTGTCTGCCTGTGGCTGCAGACCCCAAAGTGAATTAAATCTGTCTTCAGCCTCCTGCATCCATCAGGATCAGCTGTGTCCCCGGGATTTTGGAGCAATTAGCACATGAATGTCACCCAGTGGGAAACACCGAACCCACAGCAGCCCAGCCTCACTTCCCTGGAGATCCCAGATCCTGGTGGGGAAGCCCCAGCAGGAGGAAGAGAAGGTTCAGCAGATGCTGCTCTCGCAAAGATGTGGAACCAGCATCCCCCTGCTGCTTCCAGAAGCCCATCACTGGCCCCAAAATCCCAATGCTGCCTCCAGAACCCCATTACTGCACCCAGAACCCCATCACTGCATCCAGTCTCATTTATGCAACCAGAACCCTATGCTGCCTTGAGAATCCCATCGCTGCCCCCAGCATCCCACTGCTGCACCCAGCATCCCACTGCTGCACCCAGAATCCCACTGCTGCATCCAGAGTACTACTGCTACCTCCAGAATCCCTTTGCTGACTCCTGAATCCCATCACCACATCCAGAGTCCCATTTATGCCTCCAGAACCCCACTGCTGCCTCCAGAACCCCATCACTGCATCCAGAGTCCCGCTGCAGCATCCAGAGTCCCATTACTGTCTCCAGAATCCCACTGCTTCCCCCAGAACCCCATCACTGCCCCCAGAACCCCGCTGGTACATCCAGAATCCCAATTCTGTCTCCAGCACACAACTGCTGTCCTCACAATCCCCCTGCTGCCCCCAGAATCCCATCACTGCCCCCAGAACCCCATCACTGCCCCCAGAATCCCATCACTGCCTCCAGAATCCCCCTGCTGCCCCCAGAATCCCATCACTGTCCCAGGACCCCCAGAACCCCATCTGTGACCCCAAAGGCACCCCTGGGCCGTGGCAGAGGAGCAGCCCTGTCCCTGGGGCTGGCCTGGCCAGGCTCTCACAGGATGTTGACACAAGCCAAGTGCCGGCCACCACGTCACCCGCGGCTGAGTGATGCCAAGGAGGCACTACAGCAACCCCAGGAAATTCCTGGAGGATTCCAGGGCAGGGTTTAGCACAGCACTTCCCAGCTCTCTGGATTTGGGGTTTTGAAAGGGCTGGGAGAGCAGCAGGGTCCTGCAGAGCCCCCGGAGCCATCCAGCAGCAAACCCCCACAAACAGCCAGGGGGTGATGGAGGGAAATTTTGGAGGATCCTTCCAAGGATGCAGCAGATGCAGGGCAAACAGGCCCTTGACCTGTGCAAAGGGAAGGCAGCAGAGCACAGTCCTTCCTTTGGAAAGGTCGGGAATATTTCAGGCAGAGAGGTCACAGGAGGGTCACTGGCAACTGGCCCACGCCAAGCACGTGTGGGGCCAGCCCCTCTCCCAAAATCCCAACCCCTGGGCACCTCAGGAGCTCCCTGCATGTCCACGTCACTACATCAGCTCCCCTCACACACCCTGCTCCCACATTCGTGTGATTCCCAGCACTCAGCAAGGAACTGGGAGGCAAAAACAGAAAGGGGAGGAGAGGAGAGGGATAATGGTGCGTGGAATGGAGCTGTGGGGAGGCACGGCCACATTTGGGGGTGTTTACACCCAAAAGGCCACACACTGGGAAATGTGAACCAGACCAGGACTTCTGCAGAGCATCACAACTCAAAAGTTCCAAGTTCTTGGATACTGGGAGGTTTGCACTCCTCATCCAAACACTCCCAGCTCCAAAACCCCGCCGGGAGAGCGGCAGCAATGGCAAACATTTACATCCAGCAAGCAAATATGGTTTTTTAAACTTAGTAAAATCAACAGTCCACTTGAGGCAGCTCAGCCCAGATGCTGGCTGGAGAAAATTGGAGTTTGGGGAAAATAGAACTTGAGGTGGAGAGATGGGCATCAGGAGTGGGATATGAGGAGTCTGCCCTCTTCCCCATCACAAGTGTCCTAAAGGACCTTGACTGCAAAAAGAATGCTACAAAAAAAGATAGATTTTAAAAAGAAAAAAGATAGATTGAGGAAATATCCTTAACAGACACAAATAAATTCCCAAACTGATGAGCACCACTTGGACTGCAGCAAACAGAGGAGGCATTTCCCCAAAGGCATTTTCAGCTCAAGCATTGTGAGACTGTTCCTTCTCCTCGAGCACTTCTGCCATTTAAAGCTGCTGTGTGTGACTATCTCTTGACCAAAATAAACTCCGTGCCTGTTTCTAAATTAAAGAAAAAAAATAGGAAAAAAAAAAAAGTTCTGAAAGCATTTCCCCTCTGTCACACCCCTCAACTGCAGCTATTTTCTGTGTGTGTCCTTTGTTTCAGCACAAGGACCTCTGTCTCTCCCCGAAGATGCCCCATGGCAGTCGGGAGATCAGAAACCAGAGCTCGTCAGCAGCTGCAGAATTTGCAGGGAAGCTCTTTTTCTTCCTCCAAACTACAAGCCACGGAGTTTGGATGGGAATTTTTTTCCCAAGGAATATGACATTTAGGGCAGGGCCACATGATCCATGTGCAGGGGATGGCTGCAAGGAGCCCTGGGAGTGTTCTCACACCAGGAATCATCCCCTAGACAGCACAGGAGCCTGAGTTTTGTGTTTCTGGTGCTCATCCCTTTCCCTCAGCAGATCCCTGTCTTTCCAAGATCTCTTTGGGGTGGATTCCCACCTCACAGAGGTTTGCAGCAGCAGCAGCAGCCCCAAAACCAGACAAAAACTGATGCCAAAGCTGGGAACAGATCCTGGCAGTTCCAAAATCCAGGGTAGCATCTCAACTGCTGCATCACCCTTCCCTCAGACAGAACTCTTCTGGCATTATCATAATCATAACAATAATAATTAGAACAAGAACATTATTGATAATTTTCAATAAGGAAAAAAAAATCTTCATAAAATATTGGTACCACCACCCCTGGGCAGCTCCACTGCTGTCTTCCATCCCCTTGGCACTCAGCACAAAGCTCCAGCTTGGACCAGCCAACATCCATGGCTGGCTGCACCCCAGATGGGCAGCTCAGACCCTCGAGGAACACCCGGAATGCCACCAGCCCTCGCCACCCTTCCCTGTGGCATTTTGTCACCCAGTGTCACTCCAAGTGTGCTGCCTGGCCAGGGCATGTCTGCAGCAGCTGAAGCAGCTTCTGCTGATCCAGCACTACCACCAAGGGCTGGGATTTTAACATTTCTAGACCACAAAATGTCCCAGAGCAGACTAATTCCAACGTGCAGAGGCGCTTTTTTTCCCAGGATAGATCATTTGTACTGGAATAAAGTGTACCAGCATAAGCTTTCACCAGAATAATCTTCATTTATGCCTAAGAGGCTTTGCCAGTAAAACTAGAGTGACCTAGCTCTGCTGGAAAACCTTTTCTGGCATATCCTGGCAGTTTACTCAGCAGATCGGTGGCTCAGCACTCGGATCTGAGAGAGGGGAAGTTAAAAAACAAACCATATTTCAAGGCACAAATTGACTCCCTGAGCTGTGGTTTTCTGCAGCTGAGGAGAGCTGCCCACCTAGGATAAAATCCATTGGGATCAAGGGGTTTGCAGCAGGTCAGGGGGGGTTGTTCAAGGAGATGTCACTGTAGGACCAACCCAAGAGCCTGTCCCTGGCACCAGCTGAGATTTGGAAAGTCACTCACAACCCCCTGCTTCCGCTTTTATTTTTTTTTTTCTTTTCCCTCAGCACTTCTTCCTCCTTAATCAGAAAGCGAATCAACCCTGGGTATTAAACAGGAGGAAATTCTAAATTTGGGTTGCCACTCCCTTCCTTAAGTCAGCCCTCGGTGTCAGAGCTCTGCGGGGCCACGCTGGGAGGGGAGCAGGACCAGCAGCAGGATCAGGCTCCTGCCAACATCCTCCTCCTCCTCCTGTGCTCTCCAGCATCGCTTTGGGGGTGCCCAGGTTCCAAATCCTCACCCCCAAATGCATGTGGAGCAGGTAAAGGCAGAGCTCCACGTTCCTTCTTTGGTGACTCTACACCAAAATGAACCTGGCCGTGAAAATCCGTGTCCTTTTGCTTTCATTCCTCAAAAGCAGGTTGGGAATCTCACGTGCTTTCCAGACAAGGAACCTCAAATGATGGAGGTTTCCCTTTCCTTTGCTCTCACCTGCCCCACAACAAACCAGGGGATGAGTGGAAAACAGCAGGAGAACAGGAGGAGCCAGGCAGGACGGTGGTTTCCATGTGAAAATTGCCATGGTAATGCTGCGACCACA